CCATCCTCCATCTTGTTCCTCTTGTCCTCTCTTCTAGCCCTTCAATCTACTTCTCCCCATCTCAGTTTGTTCCTCTCTAGTTCTTACCCACCTAGTTCTCCCATTCTCTTTTCTCCTTGGTGCCCTGGAAGTCCTGGTATATTAAGCCAGGCTTCCGGAGTCAAACGGAGGGGTGATAAGAACCACATAGAGAGGCAATAACCGTTAATTATCATTTGCAACCCCAAAGGGAAGTGACCAATGGGGAAATGAATTAACTAAAGGCTAAATTCGGGTAATATCTAAGAAGAGGGATCTTATGTGCTCAACTATTAAACGTGATTGGTAGAAAGTGTTAAGAATCTATAAGTTGCTAGATCAATGGGAGAAAATAAAACTCTTTTTTTTCCTGTGGCTCCTATCTGTCCAAGCTATCTGCCGTTTTTCTGCAGGGTGGGGGAAAGTGTGCTCAGTCGCTAGGCAACCTGTACAGCTAGATGCCTCTGGTGATAGTTAAAGGGAGATCTGGAACTGGAGGTAAGGTTTGGGAAAGGAGGTAGTTAAGCTTAATTGGCACACCTGCCAGGCCTTCTCAAACAGGTAACCCAGATGCATAAGTCTGTTCTTAGAGAGTACAGAGGTATCTCTAATAAGATACTTTCCTCCATCTGGGGATGGACCTGGCCGGATGCTGCCAATGACGATAATTACAGGGAGGCTTGAACTGGGGTTCTGGCTGAGCACAGCTGTCAGTGCAGAAGGTTATCCAAATATTCCTAGAAGTGGTTAGGTAAGGAGTTAGAGGTCTATAAAGTTAGTAAGGCTGTAAGAAAGGAGGGGTCTGAGCTAAATTGTGTAAAGCTATTACTTAATGTCTACCAGACCTAGGCGGTGTCTCCTTGTGGAATTTACCTTGAATCAGGAGACTTGCATGTGGACTGTTATTACTGCTAGTCCTTGAAAGTGGCCAAGGGAGATATCTGATTCCAGAGAAAGCCTTTCCTGAGGCTGTTCTCCAAATACCTGGAATGTGTATGTCCAGAGAGTGATCAGTCCACGCTGTTAGCCCTTCTTAGGGAAAAGTCAATTGGGAAAACTATGAAGGCACACATGATTTTCCTAACAGAAGACAGCTGATATGTAACAAGCCAAGTAACACCAAAAACTCCTTGGGATTTGGCTTCCTCTGGAGGAATTCCCTGATCCCTCCAGGTAGTGACTTTGCCGTAACCAGCTGAGTTCTTAGGATGTATTCCTGCGGCCTGCAGCAGGGGAACTGAGCAAAGCCCCGCTCCTCACAGTGCCTGCAGGTGTATGCTCCGGAGGTGTCACCAGACAGCATCATGGAGTGTGCCACCGGGGAGCGTGGCACGCAGCTCATGCATGCCAACGCCCAGCTCACCGATGCCCTGCAGCCACCCCATGAGTACGTGCCCTGGGTCCTGGTCAATGAGGTAAGTAAGAGGCTCAGTAGTGTCCCACAAGCTCAAGGCTCGGGGTTCAAATCCCCAGGCTGCAGGTGGTGTGATCCTGGCACAGGGGATCCATGGGGCTCCCGGTGGAGTGCAGCTGTGACATGAGCTGCTCTTCCAGAGGAACCAAGTTCAATTCCCGGCACGCCATCAAGCAGCTTCTGCATTCACATACAGACTTCTTCAATTAAAAATGATTTTTTTTTAAATCAAGATGGAAAGTGACTGGAAGATACCACATGAGGGACTGGAGAGACAGCTCAGTGGTTAAGAGCACGGGCCGCTCTTGGAGAGGACCCTGGTTTTATTCCCAGCACGATAAAGTGGCTCACATCTGTAACTCCAGTTCCGGGGGATCTAGCACCTTCTTGTGGCCTCTATCAGTACTGCACAGACACCTCCCGGCCAAACATCCCGCCCTACACGTGAAATAAGATAAATCAATCTGAAAATAATGGTTTAATTAAAAGACTCCAGAAAAGAAAAAGACACCCCATATTGAGCTCTAGCCTCTGCCCACACACAAGGTTTTTACACCCTGATCACTACCATTCCTAGTTCAGCTCAGCTGAGACTGTCCTGAAACAGTGATCCTCCTGCCTCAGCACTCGAGTGCTGAGCTCCCAGGCTCGTGCATCCTCCCCAGCTGAGCTTAACCATGTCTTCTGTGGCTTACAGAAACCCCTGAAGGACCCCAGCCAGCTCCTGAGCACGGTCTGTCAGTTGTACCAGGTGAGCTCAGTGTAAGCCAGTGGGGTGCAGCTGTGGGGGTGCAGTCTCCCCGAAGGGTCCCGACTCCTAGCCTTTCACCCCTCCAGGGACTGGAGAAGCCCGACATCTGCTCCGCCATGGCCGACCCTCCGAGGGAGGTGTGCTACAAGTGAAGGTCACTGTCCCAGGAAAAACCAGAGCCCTGAGGGATGCCACCCATCAACGAGAAAACTCACACACGTCTCCCAAAACAGACTCGGAACTCCTTCAAGAATCTTGCCTTGTTTTCAAATGGTGCTAAATTTAAATTCATTGAATAAATAATTTAGATTGCTGTGATTCATTTTTCCTGGAGTTATAGTTGTTTTTTGTTGTTTTGAGACGTGGTTTCTCTGTGTAACAGCTCTACTTGTCCTGGAACTCACTCTGTAGACCAGGCTGGCCTAGAACTCACGGAGATCCACCTGCCTCTGCAGCTCCAGTGTTGGGATTAAAGGTGTGTGCACCACTGCCACTTTGTGTTTTTGTTTTTAATGTGGGTGTGTAACCCTCCACAGGTGCTCAGACCACAGTCTCCCCGAGCCGTGCCCTGGAGCCTGGGGTTCATCTGAAAAGTCTGCATGAGTTCCTTTTTCACTGTGTGAGAAAATACAAAAGACACTTAAGGAAGGGAGGGCCTGTGCTGGCTCACCTCGTGTGGAACTCCGTAGGGGAAGTTGAGGCAGGAGCTTGAATTCACACTGCACCCGAGGTTGGGAAGCAGGTGAATGCTGGGGCTCTGTCCACGTTCCTTTCTGATTCTTACAGAACTCCAGCGCACAGGATGATGCCACCCACACTCAGGACCATTTCACCTCAAATATGAGTCCAGCCGAGTGTTTCTCAGCCCGTGTGTGTGTGTGTGTGTGTGTGTGTGTGTGTGTGTGTGTGTGTGTTCACTGTGTGTGTGTGTGTTCACTGTGTGTGTGCGTGTTCACTGTGTGCGTGTGTGTGTTCACTGTGTGTGTGTGCGTGTGTGTTCACTGTGTGTGTTCACTGTGTGTGTTCACTGTGTGTGTGTTCACTGTGTGTGTGTTCACTGTGTGTGCGTGTGTGTGTTCACTGTGTGTGTGTTCCCTGTTCCAGGAAAGGCGGCAGTGTACAGGCGGGCGGGATAATCCGCACTAGAATCCCAGCCTGACAACAGTGTGATCGGAGCAGTTAAAGCAAAGGCTAAAGGAGGCCGGGATCTTTGCTTCTGAAGCGACACCGAGTTGCTGTGGAGAGGACACAGGAGCCGCCCAATGACCTGGGCGGTCTTCAAAGCCAGGCGAGTGGCCGGGCGATCGGGGCAGGGGTTCAGGGCCAGCCTGGGCTCCAGGAAACAGGTCTGAAACGGCGGTGCCCACGTCCCGTGCCCGGCACCACAGCCCCGGGACCACAGCCCGGCACCCGGGATCACAGCCCCGGCACCCGGGACCACAGCCCCGGGACCCCGGATCACAGCCGGCACCCGGGACCC